GTACGTTTACACAAGCAGCACACGCGTAGGAACACTTGTACGATTGAAGTTCTTTACGTCCGAACTTCTGTCAAGTCAATCGCTTCCAGCAGCCACAATCATTATGATTGATCGATCCACAGTGAGTGCACGATTTCGATTGTTCTCCGTGATCACGTAGCTCCACACGATCAGCGTTCTAATGCGACAAAAGATGGTCCTATTTAACTTCATTTGAGTGGGGATTGTGGTCGCGCAAAACCTACGCCGGTCCACATCCTCTTCCGATCCACTTGGGCCCGACTCAGATCTGCTGCTCTCGCTTTCTACGCTGATCGCTCGTACGGCTCGGGTATATTTCGACGGTACTTTATCAGCATGAACTTTTAATCGCTTATGAAATTTGCCTTGGATCATCGAAGCCTTCGTGTACCTATATTCTATGCGCTGATACGCACGCAACGTTTCTTCCATGTCGTCGGCATCCGGCATTCACAGTAGAGTCAACTGTTTTGATAAATCGCAATCGTCCAGCGTAGAATAACATGTTCCACATGCTCACGACGCGTAGCGTGCCTTTCCTCTCAAATCGCGACCTTGGCTCGGATCGATGCTCCATTCAGTCGGTGCAGATACTCCAGCGGGGTTTCATTTGGTCGTTTGCGCGCGTGGTAATACTGTATGGTATTTTATACACCATACCCTCCATATTGAACCTTGAAACATTTTAACAGATCTTTCCAAGTGCGACGAGTAGTGCGACTCAGTTAATTGTGCCAATGTTGCGCTAGTCCTGTCAGCATGTCACCAAACGCCAGAAATTTCATTCGTCCGGTATTTGGTCTCCTAATACGCTGACTTGACCTTGACTATCCAGCTTCTAGCGCGGTATTTGTCTTGATTTTTGCTGTTAATATCCCGTTATCCGCCGATCATGGTGAAACGAATGCGCTGAGGAGACGGTCCTTGGTTCATCGAAACTTCTGCAGGCGCCATTAATGGACGCCTCAATTCCTCCTGATCCGGTTTGTACGGAGTGTGTCCCCCGAGATCACCAAAATTGATCGGCCTTAACGTGATCTGACAGATTCCAACTCGACAACTGTGAATTAGGTGTCTCCATATTTCGGCATCTTGATCGCTTGGCTTACATACATTGCTTGACAAGCTCGACTTCGTTGTCTTTGTTCAAAAATATCCATAGCATTACCATGTAAGAATGCAGTTGTACTTGGATAGCCGTTGTGTCATCTCCTGTGACGCGTATGGAAGCCGATCGCGACTTGGCCTTACTTCCCTTAGCGCGATCAAGCGGATGAACGGATCCAATGGGGCCTAGCGATATTCGCTGAATGCCCATCGAGGCGTCTGACTAGATCTCGGATTCCGCTGAAGCATACTCCGACGAACCAGTATGGTATACCTTCGTCATCCCCGCAATCTCATAATTCGCTTGATCACCCGTCTTGGCTTTGCCTGTGAGAGGGATTACCTTCTTGTATAAAGATCGGCATGCGTAGGTTATTTGATCTTGATCACACTCCAACATTTCTCTCACATCGAACATCTCCGCCACGAATCCAGCCTCATACAGAAGTTCCATGATCCCGTAGATTTTTCTCCAGCGTATTCGATCCACTTACCGGAGTCGATACTGGACCTTGAATCTCGTCGCTCAGCTTTGGCTTCAGCACTTGGAGTACTAGATCGCTTGATAGTAGATTCTTGAGAATCTTTCGCTCGTACGCCTTGGTTAATTATCCATGTTGCCATCCTTCTATTTTTTCCTCCACGGGAACTTGATCGCGTTGGTCATGTTCGGTCGTTTTTTGCTTCACCCTCGCCGTCTTGGATTTATCTTTCTCGAGATTGTAAGTGTGACCTTGGACTAATCTTGTTCGGTTGTAACCGATGAGTTTTCACCCTGATAACCATGTTTAGTAACACGATTCGCGGTGGTAATCGAAAGGGCCTCAGAAGTGGGTCAAGGATTAGTTTTCGAATTTGATTGATCGAATTTTGTCTTTTATTATCTTGTCATTGGAGCTCCTCCCAGAACGCTGATGAACTGGGAATAATATTAGACCCCGCGAATGTGGCGATTCCTTGGCCTTCGGTGCTTCCATCATAGGATCAGTTTTTATCTTCACATCTTTACATAGGGACTCACGGAGAAACCCCTGAGTCACCAGAAGATCCGGGCACGCACACCATTGTGGTGGAGTGATGATTGCTCTTTTGAGGAGTCGATACCAACTCTCCACAGACTCCCGAACGACCGACTAACGGAGTGAATACTCCGATTCCGTGTTCTTGATAACCTTCCTCATCTTGTGTACCCGTTGGTGGGGATGGTTGCAATGCTCCAGGTGGAATCGTGTCGGCGGAAAACTTGACCATGTCTACGATGGGGTAGCGATTTGATCTCGGTGTGATATTCTTCACACCGTGATCGGGGTTGACGTGATCTCGTGGAACTCTTCACACCGCGATCGGGGCTGATGTGATCTGGTGAATTCTTCACCGAGTGACTTGTATACTTGTAGGGTGCTCAATATGAGTCACCCTGATCCGTAACAGATCGCCTTATCCAAATGTAGCCCTTGGATCGCAAGATTTTTGACCACTTGAGCCGCCCCGCGATCTTGAGTCCTCAACCACAAAGGGTTTCCTGCGTCCAGTCGCGGTTGATGCGTTGTTTGAGAGTTCTTGTCCCCTGGTTAATCAATCCAGGAATATAACTTAATTAAAGTATGTGACTTTTCCTTGACGTCGGGTGGCCAATGATCCACCCGGAGGAGAAGTCGACACGTGTACTTTGAAGCAAATCGAACTATGTATAATGTTAACCAATCAAACCCAACAACCTTATCCCTATCCCCATGTCTTAGACATCGCTTGCTGCATGTCGCCTCTGTAGACGGTAGCAATCTTGTTCTTGCGTGGCACACACCTGATTCACTTATCCGATCACATTCTTCCTTCTGGTCGTCGATCGTGTGGTGTAACCCACACTAGATTGATCGCGATCACGTACCTGATCCCTGACCAAGATCTCGATTGCCTCTTGATCGCGATCGCCGTGCTGATCAAAGTTTTTTCTTGATCGTCTGATCGCCAGTGTGATCGCCCATGACACAACCCCAACTCTATAACTCGTGACCTGTGCCCGTCCTACTTTAGCCCGATACTGCACGTTTAAATTGTCTGATCTGATGTCCGGTTCTGATTGATCGTCCAGTAGACGTGATCAAACCAGTTGTGGGGACATCGTTACCAACCGTTTGCCACCTTAGATACAATTGGAGCGCGATCCGTTCTTGTATCGCGAAATTTCACTTATTGCTTTACCACTTGAATATAGATAACCTAAAGTAGAAACACTAGTCAATTTATGCATCATCACACCATCTCGTCGGTGTCAATATATGTATCAACACACCTCTCGTGGCTAGTCAAAATTCCTATGTCGGCTGAAGGTTGCACCACAGCAAGTTGCACTTTTGAAAGGCAGTTTGCGCGAAGGGGAAAAATAAAAAACGAGTGTCAGAAAGCGCACAGTAACAGACAGCACTTCGTAGAGCATCTGCCGACATGGAGCGACTGGCGGAGTAGTTAGGTGTGCTCGTGCTTTCTCTGATGACCTCCTGTTCATCTGACAACTCGTTCTCAATGGCTTCGTATCGCTATCGTTGTCGTAGACAGATCCAAGCCACGCAAAAGCTGCTCTGGGATCCCTAATGAAGCTGGACGGAGCGCTCGCTGTTAATTGCAAAGCTCACTGAGCTATCGAGGCACTGTTAAAGGAGATATGAGGCTAGTCGGCCAATTGTAGCGAGTGGATAAAATCGATGCGGCTCTTGAGCTACACAGTTACTTATAAATACACCAGTTTGTACGATTGTTGTCCAGGGCTGTCGCATATCTATGATCTGCTGGATTCGATGTGTTAAACCACTGGCTCCGGTCTTTTTCGTGCACTAATTCATCTAGTCGATCAATGATTTCAAGTCTTAAATTTCAGAGTCCGATGTGACTATCGTACCTGTCTATAAAACATAAAAAGTATTATTTTTGTGCGGGGTGGTGGTTGCGGTCATAGATCACTATAATGCTTATATCACCGATCGGTTATATCTATGCTCATACAAGAATACTATATATATATGAAACGAAATTCTTCCTTGATGCCCCGATGGAAAGCGAGTTTTGCCACGCGACGGCTAGTTAGAAAACGGTGGTTGAGCTGCCTTGCAAGGACCCCTAGATAGTGGCAAAAAGACTATTTACACACAACTGCTACCACAAGAGTTGATTGCTCGACTTTTTTGAATGCTTCATCGATTATCCCTAGTTATATGATTGGCATTTGTAAGTCAAGTGTCAACCGCAGAAGTCAAGACGTATTTATCGTTGAGCCGATCCATTTGAGCATCAAGCGAAACATTCCTGTCTTGGCGCATATAAAGTATACGTATATGTAGATGTGGATAACTGCACGTATTAGTAAAGGTTTATGCAATCATTTAACGCAATAAGCTCAAAGTATAAATCATATTCACATTAACGGGTGTAGACCTTGTAAGCGAAGTAGTAGCGACCTGGCGGCAGCCAAGGCCATTGTCGCCGATATTCTTAAAGGCGATGATTGGGTTTATCGTATTGCTGGCGCCAGTTTCGCTCGAGCCCATGGTTCACGTTGAGCACCCCACCCATGATCCACTGACCCAGGGATGAATCGTCCGGTTGACGTGGCCAGTGCCCCTTGACTTCTGGCCGCAGCCGAGACCCCAACCGCCGCCTCGAGGCCGGCGAGCAGATCGTTGGTCGTAGAAGGCATCTCATCTCCTTTCCGGCATCTCCTGGAACGTCGACGACGGGATCGAGCATTCGTTCATCGCCTCGCCCACCTCGCGTTACCCGCTGTACCAGATCCCCAGCGCCGCCCAGCTGCCATCCTTCATTCGCGCCACCAGCTGGTCTGAGATGGCGCCGGCGTTGCTAATCCCTTTTGGTCTCAGCCGCAAGCGCATTTAGCTTGTTCTGGAAGCCGTTCGTGTAGAGCCCGAAGTAGCCATCTGTAATTATCTTTGACCGCCTGCACTGAACTGGGCTGGGTACTGCTTGGCGAGACGCCCTGCGATCATCGCCTGGGCCGCGGCGTAGGTCGTATTCAGGGTACCCGCATGGGCCTCCATCGCACGGGTGCGAATACCCGTGTAATTGACGTCAGCGATACGGAAACCGAACATGCCGCCTAGACCAGTAGTTGGACCGCGGCGAGAACTGCAGCTTGATTTCACCGCACGTAGCGGCGCCAAACTGCCCACTTGACTGCCGACCAGCGAACTTCATCACGATCGCAGTCCCATTGTCAGCCGCTGCGTTGAGCGTCACCGGAAAATCCGTGGCGTCGCCTGGTTGCCGGCCTGCATGGCGGCAGCCATGTCGTAGGACGCACGCTGGCACGCCGCGGCCTTGGCCAGCGTAGACGCTCGATGTTTTTGATCTGGGCTGCCTGCTTGATGTTCCCCATCTGAGTTCACCGTGGTCTGGAAAGCAGCGGTCTTTCGGATAGCAGTGATTTGCTACCCTGTTCGCACCGGCGATACCAAGCAAGCTCGCAATGACCCATAAGCCCTGACAGAAGGCCCAGCCCCCCGAACACTGGCATCAGGCTGACAGTGCCTGATGCCACTGCGCACGGCACCCAGACAGTCGACATACGCTTTGCCTAGCACAACCCCCCGTGCATCGTCTGCGCGAGACCCGCAGACACGTTGTAGGCCATCCAAATGCATGCGGCCGAGAAGATGAACATGCTGAATTCTTGAACATCGAGGCCATCAGCGACCCAGTCGACCCGTCCGAGGTACGGAATGGATCGAGCGCGAAATCGCCTAGAACCGATCGGAGCATACCGAACGACTCATCCGTATCCCTATTGATGGTCGTGAGGAGCTCGGCGACCTCGTCCATGAGGCCGGCATGTGCGATGGTCGGCACCATAAGGACGCGACGGCCCCTAGGCCGCCGCGGATAAAGATCGATTTCTTGGGCTTACGCATGAATTGTCCTGTGAGATACTTGTTACGCGGCAACATCATAAAACAGGAACATCTCCGGAGATGTCGCGATACCATCTCGGAAATCGATCTGTTTCTGCCCAGCTTACTGCGTCTTTAAGCTGCTGGCGCATGCATTGGTGTTGTTTTCCGTCCATCCGGCGTGCGACCGGGACAGGCTGAAGGCGCGGGCCACTCTGGAGCCAGCTCGGCGCGCATCTGCTCTGTACGCGACGCGCATCTCGGCCGCGATAGTGTCGACATTGGCACCGATCTCGGTGGCGCGCAGCGAAGCCTGAGCCAGCTGATTGCTCAGGGGCTGGTACCGGCTCGGCCAGCAACCCGTCGCCATGGTGCCGATGTTGTGACTCATGGCCTCGATCGTTTTCGGCCACCAAGCAGCAGTCGTTCACGCACGTCGGTCGATTCGAGCACCCGGATACACGACTCCAAGGCACGCCCGACCTCGGCGACCAGAGCGCGCCGCTGGCTTTCTCTTTCCAGGGGCAAGACGCTGCTCGGCGATGCGCGAGCACGTGCTGCTGGATCTCGCTGGCGCGAGGTGCTCATACGTGACGATCGCAGCGCCAGCAACCGATACGAAGCCGGGGCGACCGGACTCGGCGCGCACCCGGTTCACCGCTGGGGACATTCCCATCTCGCGGAACACGCTTCGGCATCATCACGCAGCTGTTCGTTCAGGACTTCATGCAAGGCACTCCAGATCCAGGCCGTAGTCGTTTTCAATCATCATTTCAGCGCACTCCTGGTGCTGTAGCGTTGTCCGATGGATCGGCTTGAGGCGATCGAGTTCACTCATCCGGTCGGAAAGCGATCGAAGTACGCGCTCCTGCAGGGCCACGCCGGCACCACCCTGCCGCTTCACCGGGAGAAGCTCCTGCCTTTCCTGCAGCGGCGATCAGCAGCATGGCCTTAGGCTGACCGGCGTGGCGCCGGCAACCTGCGCGACCGACCCGAGGGAGCCCATCGTCTTTTTCAGGAACGCGGCTTCACTGAACTTGCCATCTCCGTAAATTCGGCCGCGACCTTTCCACCGTCAGGTACGAGGTTCGACGCCTGCACCATGGAGTGGGACATGCGGCCGCCGTCTTTCATATGGCCCAGGAACGCACCGTTCGAGCTCTGCATACCTGCGGTCAGGACAGCGCGCATACGGGTAGGATCCAGGAGGCGACGACTGCCCTGGCGCGATCTTATCCATGGCGCCTGCCAGGTTACGGAACACCGTGACGTCGAAGCTACCGCCCGTAGCGGCGCGGTTGACCTGATCACCGTAGGCCACGCCGGCACCACCAGCGCGGTAAGGGCAGTCAGTTCGGTCGTCCGATCAGGTTTGATGTCTTCAGCCTGGGCGGAGCACAGGCGCGCTTCGCCCTGCCTCGACTGGCCGGGGCCGCCTCCACCTGCTCGACGCAGGTCGCGTGGACGCGAGATAGATGTGCCCTCGCCGAGTAGGCGCTTGTAAAGGCCGGCGATGGGCTGGTCGGCGTGAGCGCCACTGGCGGCCACCGGTGCCGGCGCCGTTGCGAGTGCTACTGCCCGTTGCGCACGAGCGGCTTGGACTGCGCCTTCGGCCCGCGCGCTCCACCGTGCCAACGGATTCGATGGCGACAGTACGAGCGACGCGGCCGGCGGCTGCCGGCCAGGTGAGGACTCGCCGCCAGCGGCTTACCGCTGTGGTGCGACGCCATCAGTATCGTCGCAAGGCGCGGGGCTGTCTTTACTGCCAGGCGACCGAGCACACTCTGCATCGGCCGTGAGTGGTACAGGCACGTGAGCTCCAAGAATCTATCGTAATTACTGACCAGCATCCGTTTTACTTCAACCGCCGTGCACGTGGTTGCATGTTTTTACGGTATATACATAAAACAGAACAAAGGAGGTCAAAAAAAGCGCGCGGAATGAAGGCGTGCTTTGGCGGCGCAATGGTATCGATGTGCCAGCCTTGGAGCAGGTCAAAGCCGATACCCTGCGCGAATGCCAGAAGCTCGGCTGATCAACGCCTTCTGCCACCGTGGTAATTCCCACGCTCTTCCAGCTCGCCACCGATGCCTCAAGCATCTTGGCCGCTTGGGGCCGGCCTGCAGCGCTCACCAGAAGGCCTCGGTCGACCTTGAGCGCGGCGACGCTATCGAGCGCGTTAGGCGAGGCTGCCGTCGAGCCCGGCGCCGAAGTCATCAATAGCGAAAGCGCACGCCCATGCCATTCAATTGGTTCACCTTCTCGCAGACCTGGTCGAACAAGATCTTTCAGCTTCGGCCTCGCTCATTTCAAAGCGAAGGTCCTTACGAGCGCATGCCGCAGCAAAAGCAGCTTCTTCCGTGACCAGTACTGACTGGTGCATTAGGTTGATAAAGCAAGGCTTTCCCGCCGCCCGCCTCAATCTGGGCCAGGTAGCGAAGCACCGCACGATCGACTGCCATCCATTCTACGAGTGAGCTTGGCCAAGCCATACCACGGTAGAGGAATTCATAGCCGTACACCGAAAGATCGTCGGCACGGGCGATCGTTTCCGGTAGCTCGAAGCGGATTCCCCTGCTCTTCTTTGGATGCCCCCTCAATAATCTCGCCTTCACGCATACCCATAAATTCCGCTCCCCTTGCCTTAATTCTCTTCGTCGGCGCGAAAGCACCGCACCTAGCTTCGACGACAATCCATTGGTTACATGAACCAAGATCAACTTTAACATC